AGAGACAGAGAGAGAGGTCTTCCATCTGCTGGTTAACTTCCCAGATGGCCGCAACGGCCAGAGCTGCGCCAATCTGAAGCCAGGAGCCAGGAGCTTCTTCCAGGTCTCCCATGTGAGTGCAGGGACCCAATGACTGAGCCATCTTCTGCTTTCCCAGGCCATAGCAGAGAGCTGGATTGGAAGGAGAGCAGCTGGGACTAGAACTGGCGCCCATATGGGATGCTGGCGCTTCAGGCTAGGGTTTTAACCCATTGTGCCACAGTGCTGACCCCCGACCCCCTCACCTCTTATAACTTTATTATATACCTGCAGTTACTGAGTTTCTGCCAAAAGTGTTATGTAGGAAACCCAGAGCTGTTCAGGGAGGAAGATTGGCTCAGCACAGCTGGAGCACCCTTCTGCTACTTCACTGAACTAGAACAGAGGAAATCAATCATTTACTAGTCTTTTGTTCTGGATTTTGTATGAGAGGTAAATTCAATTTAAGGAACAAACCATCAGAAATAATTTTAGTTTTTGATTAATAGACTTAGATATGGGTTTTTCCAAGTGCTATTTTCTTTCTTCAGTTCAGCCAATCAGTAAATATGTTTCAATGTCACAATAACACTTGATTTAGAAGGGTTTGTCGCTGGTGCTGCGGCTCACTAGGCTAATCCTCCACCTGCGGCCCCAGCACCCCCGGTTCTAGTCCCAGTCGGGGTGCCAGATTCTGTCCCAGTTACTCCTCTTCCAGTCCAGCTCTCTGCTGTGGCCCAGGAAAGCAATGGAGGATGGCCCAAGTGCTTGGGCCCTGCACACGCATGGAAGACCAGGAGGAAGCACCTGGCTCCTGGCTTTGGATTGGCGCTGTGCGCCAGCCATGGCAGCCATTTTGGGGGGTAAACCAACAGAAGGAAGACCTTTCTCTCTGTCTCTCTCTCTCTCTCACTGTCTAACTCTGCCTGTCCAAAATAAATAAATAAATAAATAAATAAATAAAAAAGAAGGGTTTGTCTGCACTATAGCGACTGACTCTGAAGGGTGGAATCCAGTCTGTTAGATTAATAGCTCTGTACTGAGCAGACTAATCTTTAGATTAATCCACCAGATCAACTTCTCAGACATTTACTTATTTTTAAATCTGAAAACTTCAAGGTAGGTCAAATTAAGAGCACTGATGTGTTTGCTATAGAGGATTGAGGAATCTATCAAATATAATGATATCCTGGTTCTTCTATGAAAACACCTATTGCTTCTTTAGGCACCTGTTTCCTTAGAGTGGTCACTCTGTTTCAGTGGCAGTAAGTGGAGAAGAGGACATGAGAGAATAATCACATTTCAGATTTTTACTACCAATATTGCAGAGCTGTGTAATGTAGGGAACAGTACTTCCTCCTGTATTCCATTACTTATCTCACATGCAGAGTAACCAGTACTTGAACTGGCATTCTGATAGGTGTCACAAGTGGCAGCTTAACCCATTATGCCACAATACCTGCCCCATGCAGAATATTTTGTCTCTCTGGGCCAGCATTGTGGCATAGCAGATTAAGCCTCCACCTGCAATACCAGTATCCAATATGAGCAGCAGTTTGAGATTCTTTTCCCATCTAGCTGCCTGCTGATGTGCCTGGGAAAACAGCTGAAGATGGCCCAAGTGCTTGGGTCCTGCACCCGCATGGGAAACCCAGATAAAGCTCGTGGCTCCTGGCTCCTGGCTTCAGCCTGGTCCCTCCTTGGCCATTGTGGCCATCTGGGGAGTGAACCAGGAGATCGAACATCTCTTTGTACCTCTGCCTTTCAAACAAATATTTTTTTCAAACAAATATTAAAAAATCTAAAACAAAAAGAATATTTTGATTCCTAGTCTTTTGTTCTTTCTTACAAATTTTGGAATCATCTTGTGAAGGTCAAAAAGAAAACTTGTTGAGATTTTGATAAAGATTCAACTGAATTATTGAACCAATTAACAGAGAATCAATCTCTCTTCAGTTCATGAGCATGACTCTTCATATAATATTGAGGTCTGTATTTCAGTAAACTTTAATCATTTTATATGTATATATTCTACATATTTTAAAAGATTGATTCCTAGGTAGTTCAAATTATGTGTTATATTTTATTATATAGAATTATGTATTTATGTTACATGTCAAGTGTTACCATATATCACACATATGTTTTATTGTGTATTTTTTAAGATTTATTTTACTTCATTTTATTTTATTTTACAAAGAGAGGAAGAGACACAGAGAGGTCATTCATCTGCTGGTTCACTCCCTAAATGGCCACAACAGCTGGAGCTAAGCCAACCCAAAGCCAGAAGCCAGAGCTTCTTCCTGGACTCTCATGTAGGTGCATGGGCCCCAGCACTTGGGCCATCCTCTGATGCTTTCCCAGGTGCATTGATAGGGAGCTGGATTGGAAGTGGAGTAGTTGGGACTTGAACTGGTACCCGTATATGGGATGTCAGCATTGCAGGACAGAGCTTTAATCCACTGTGCCATAGCACTGGCTCCTTATTGCATATTCCAAATAAATAAAAAAATATATTTTAGATATTATGTAAATATGTAGTATCTTCCTAAATTTCATTTACTAAAAGTTTATTGCTGATATATAGAAATATACATGGCTCAGCAGGTTAAGCTGCTACATATAATGCTGGCATCTTATATAACTACTGGTTCAAGTCCTAGCTGCATCACTTTCTTTTTTTTCTTTTTTTTTAAAGATTTATTTATTTATTTTGAAAGTCAAAGTTACACACAGAGAGAAGGAGAGGCAGAGAGAGAGAAGGAGAGGCAGAGAGAGAGAAGGGTCTTCCATCTGCTGGTTCACTCCCCTGCTGGCTGCAATAGTCAGAGCTAGGCCGACCTGAACCCAGGAGCTTCGGAATTCCGGGTCTCCCATGTGGGTGCAGGGGCCCAAGGATTTGGGCCATCTTCTACTGCTTTCCCAGGGCATAGCAGAGAGCTGGATCAGAAGTGGAGCAGCCAGGACTCAAACCAGCGCCCATATGGGATCCTGGCACTGCAGGCAGCAGCTTTACTTGCTATGCCAGAGCGTGGCTCCTGTACCACTTTTATTTTTTCTTTCTTTGTTTCTTTTTCTTTTTTTTCTTTTTTTTTTTTTTTTGACAGGCAGAGTGGACAGTGAGAGAGAGACAGAGAGAAAGGTCTTCCTTTGCCGTTGGTTCACCCTCCAATGGCCGCCGCGGCCAGCGCGCTGCGGCCGGCGCACCGCGCTGATCCGATGGCAGGAGCCAGCAGCCAGGTGCTTTTCCTGGTCTCCCATGGGGTGCAGGGCCCAAGCACTCCCTGGCCACAGCAGAGGGCTGGCCTGGAAGAGGGGCAACCGGGACAGAATCCGGCGCCCCGACCGGGACTAGAACCCGGTGTGCCAGCGCCGCTAGGCGGAGGATTAGTCTAGTGAGCCGCGGCGCCGGCTTCTTTGTTTCTTTTTTTTTAAAGTTGATTTATTTATTTGTAAGGCAGAGTTACAGAAAGGCAGAGGCAGAGAGAGATATCCTCCATTCACTGGTTCACTCCCCGAATGGCCACAACAGCTGAAGCTGGGCTAATCCGAAGCCAGGAGCCAGGAACTTCCTCCTGGTCTCCCATGCGGGTACAGGGGCCCAAGCACCTGGACCATCTTCCACTGCTTTCCCAGGCCATAGCAGAGAGCTGGATTGGAAGTGGAGCAGCTGGGACTCAAACTAGCACCCTTATGGGATGCCGGCGCTGCAAGCAGCAGCTTAACCTACGACTCCACTTTGCTGGCCCCACCACTGTCAATGTAGTTCACTGCTAATGTGCCTGGGAAAGCAGTGGAAGATGGCTCAAATGCTTGGGCCCCTGCACCCACATAGGAGACCCAGATGGAGTTTCAGGCGCCTGGAGTTTGCCCAGCCCAACCTGGCCTTTGCAGCTACTGGGGAGTGATCCAGTCGGCAGAAGATCTCTCTCTATATCTCCCTCTTGCTCTGTAACTCTACCTTTCAAATAAATAAAAATCTTAAAATATATAGTTACTGATATTTTCATTTATTGTATTTGGCCTAGCAACCAGTGGGCTGCTGGATCCGGCTTTACCAGTTGTTACATTTTCTGGAATTTTTTGAGCCAAATTAAATGTAACCATTATTAAAAGTCAGTTATGTAAAAAATTCAGTTACATGAACTTGCAATTAGTTTATATTGTAAACAAAGGGTTACAATAATAAGTAATAAGATAATAATAATATAAAATAATATAAATAATAAGTAATAAGAGCTAATAATTTTCTAATTATTTTACTGTTACCTTTGCTTTGAGGATTGTTTGTGTATGCTGTATCTGTTGTGGTGAAAATACTATGTACTAGAAATCTCCTCCCATCTCTTCTTTTGAGTAACATGAGGTAGATAAGGCTGTAGTTCTTTTGCGTAGTCAAAAGGATAAAGTAAGTAAGGTGGGCATGTTTTAGAATAAAGATTGTATGGGACCTGCGCTGTGGCGTAACGGGTTAACGCCCTGGCCTGAAGCGCCAGCATCCCATATGGGCGCCAGTTCTAGTCCCAGCTGCTCCTCTTCTGATCCAGCTCTCTGCTACGGCCTGGGAAAGCAGTGGAAGATGGCCCAAGTCCTTGGGCCCTGAACCCCTGTCGGAGACCTGGAAGAAGCTTCGGGCTTCAGATCAGCACAGCTCCGGCCGTTACGGCCAATTGGGGAGTGAACCAATGAATGGAAGAACTCTTTCTCTCTCTCTCTCTCTCTCTCTCTCTCTCTCTCTCTCTCTCTGCTTCTCCTCTCTCTGTGTAACTCTGACTTTCAAATAAATAAATCTTTAAAAATAGAATAAAGATGGTAGGTATGGTAGAATTCTCAGACATTCCCCAGTTTTACCTAGTATAAAATACCAGGTGATATGTTATTAATAGAGCAGTAGATAGGTTTCTCATAATAGAAAATAATGGCCTATATTGAAGAAAATTAGAGTGGAATCATTATGATAGGTTGTTTGGATTTTCATCTAGATACTCTACATTTCCTCAATTCTCTACACCATCAATTACATCTGGTATCTGTACACAGAGCTGAGGATGAAACATAACGAGAGTGGACACAGCACATCTCCGCTGGTAAGTTTTATTCAGAGTTGATAGTATGCTAAAAGAAACCCATGTATCCTTCATAAACAGTGTAAACATTCAGAAACTAAGTGGTTTTTTTTTTTTCATGAAGGCTACTGACTTTATTGATCTATTAAACTTTTTGAGTACAGTCACTGTTCTGCCATAAAAGGAACCAAATGGCATCAAACATACAGGAGGTAAGGGTAGAGTGAGGGAAGGGGCCAGGAATCCACTCAGGAAAGTCAGAAATTATCAGTGTGGAACTGGCAAGAGAAACTGAAGGAACAGAGATGCATACAAGAGTGAGAATTCCAAAAAAGTTGAAATGGTTAGGGCAGGGAACTCCCAAAAATACCCTTGGAGTACAATGGAGGTGAATATGACAACAGCAGTCTATTCCTTTTAAGAGCACAGTGTGGAGTCCCCACTCAGTTGCAAACTGGAGACTCATCACAAGAAGGCAACACACCGCTCATCAGATGCACCCAAAGCATCCCAGGACTGCTTGGCCTTGACACTACGTGTTCTTCAGCCACTCTGAAGAGTTTTTCATCTTTCTTTAGCACTAGAAACTGGCTAAGGACTACAGAGGCCTTGTCAAAGCCTCGTTCCTCTAGCTTCTTCTCCAGGACTTTATGGGTCCTGGCCAGGCTCCCCAAAGACATTTTCCCGTTGGGTTCCATTGTCATCCTGATGAGGCTTAATTGGCAGGTTGGTAGGTTCGGCTGCCACCACTCAGCTGCTCACTAGCACTGTGTGAATTTTTGAAGGTTAATCAAAGAAAAAACATGTTATCACAGTTTCCATTCTGTTGACATTACTTCATCTCCTTTGCTTCTTCCCCCTGTCCCCCCACACAAAGGTTTAATTATAGAAAACACCATTTATACTGTTATTCCTGCCTGTTGATTCAGTAAGTGAAATCTTTCTTGGCTGCATACCAATCCATCATAGTTACTAGAGTAAAGAAAATTATTTTGGTGGTTGCGTTGTGGTGCAGCAGGTTCAGCTACTGCTTACAATGCCAGCATCCCATATCGGAGTGCCAGTTGAGACCTGGCTACTCTATTTCACATCTGGCTCCCTTCTAATGCACCTGGGAAAGTAGGAGATGATTCCCAAATACCTGGACCCCTGACACCCTTATGGGAGACCCAGCTGGAGTTTCAGGCTCCTAGCTTCAGCCTGGCCTAGCCCCTGACATTGCAGCTATTTGGGGAGTGAATGGAAGATCTCTGTGTCTGTCTCTCTCTCTTTTCCCCTCCTCTCTTACTTTGCCTTTCAAAGAAATAAATAAACCTTTTTAAAAAGATTTATTTTTTTCTTAGAAAGGCAGAGTTACAGAGAAGCAGAGGCAGAGAGAGGTCTTCCACTGGTTTACTCCCCAAATGGTTGCAACGGCCAGAGCTGGGCCAATCTGAAGCAAGGATCTGGGTATTCCACGTGAGGTACAGGGGCCCACGGACTTGGGCCATCTTCATCTGATTTCCCAGGCCATAGCAGAGAGCTGGATTGGAAGTGGAGCAGCCAGGACTTGAACCAATGCCGATATGGGATGCCAGCACTACAGGTGATGGCTTTACCCACTATGCCACAGTGGCATAAATAAATAAATAATAAATAAATCTTTTTAAAAAGAAATCTTGGACAAGAGTAAAGGAAGGTGTTCTGCAGACATGGAATTTGGGGCTACAGCTATTGGAGAGGGAGAGTGTTCTGCTTTGCTGTGTTTCTTCAGTATATGCAAGTGACAAGTGTTGTTTTGCGGATGGGCATAGGAATTTCAGTGTGGTAGTATGAAAAGAAGATGGGTCTAGAGAGTAATCGTCTTCCCTTCTTTGTTTCATAAAATAGTATGGGAGTACTGTCCAGCATTACAGTTATAAAAGATGAGAGAATACTAAGTTAGTATATCTTGATTCTTCTTTGTGCGTACATATATTATATATCACATAGTTCATCTACTTCAAGTGTACAATTCAGTTATTTCTGTAAATTTACCGAATTGTACAATCAGCATGATAAATAAGATTCAAGATATTTTCTCTGACCCAATAAAATCTTTCACACCCTTTGTCACTGATACTTTTCTTATCTTCTGTACTAGGCAGTCACTAATCTACTTCCTGTCTCTAAATTTGCTTTTTCTTGACATTTCTTATAAATGAAGTCATATAACACGTGGTCATTGTGACTGATGGCTTTCACTTAGCATAATACTTTTGAGGTCTAGTCATTGTTCTTCATCCTTTTATTTTTACTACTAAGTGGTATCCTATTGTATAGCTCACTGAATCTCTTATTTATAAATCTTTTAAAAAATATTTTATTTATTTAAGAGGTAGAATTACAGACAGTGAGAGGGAGAGACAGAGAGAGGTCTTCCAAATGCTAGTTCACTCCCCAAATGGCTGCAATGGCCAGAGCTGAGCCAATCCGAAACTAGGAGCCAGGATCTTCTAGGTTTCTCATGGGAGTGCAAGGGCCCAAGCACTTGGGGCATCCTCTGCTGCTTTCCCAGGCCACAGCAGAGAGCTAGATTGGAAGAGGAGCAGTTGGGACCAGAACTGGCGCTACAGTCAGAGGATTAACCTACTGTGCCACAGCACCGGCCCCTATTTATGATTCTTTTAGTATGTCACTATGTGATTTTGACAGATGATATTTTTATGATGTTACCAATTTTCATTTCATTAAATGCCTTTGTATGTTTTGGTCTATATCTATATATCTATATATATAATAGTCTTTCTGTTTCTGCAACATTTATTATGTTGTGGTTTCTGAAAAGGAATTTTTGTTAATGACTTGGAGTAAAATAATCTGAAAGCCTCCCAACACTTCCCTAGAGCTTGAAGATCACTTCTAGCACAAATGAATGTGGTATGCTCTCAGGCACATGATGAAGCTAAATACATATCTGTTGAATGAATAAATGATATTATAATGTAATGAACACTTCAGAGTAAATCAGGAGATGTGTCTTCTAGTCCCTGTTCTGTCGCTTACCTCCTATATAACCTTGGCCACATCATTTTTCTTGGGCTTCAATTTTTAATCATGAAGTAAAACATTGGTTTCTGTGGGTTTTTTCCTTTTTTAAGATTGATTTATTTGAATGGCAGAGATAAAAAGAGAGAAAGAGGGAGAGAGAGATCTTCCATCCGCTGGGTCACTCCCCAAATGGCTGAAATGACCAGGGCTGGGCCAGGTCAAAGTCAGGAACCAGGAGCTTCTTCTGGGTCTCCAACATGAGTGCAAGGGCTTAAACACTTGAGCCATCTTCTCTGCTTTCCCAGGCACATTAGCAGAGAGCTGGATCAGAAGTGGAGCAGGCAAGACTCAAACCAGCACCACATGGGATGCTGGCACTGGAGGCAGCGGCTTTACCAGCTACGCCACAGCGCTGACCCCAAGGCTTAACCTTCTACACCACAGTGCTGACCCCTCTGTGTTCCTTAATGTGCCTTCTAGCTCTGAGGTTATATGAAATCTTTATCTAATTGACTTTTTTAAAAGATTTATTTATTTATTTGAAAGGCAGAGTTACAGGGAGGCAGAGGTAGATAGATAGATAGAGAGAGAGAGAGAGAGGTCTTTCATCCACTGGTTCATTCCCCAGATGGCTGCAACGGCTAGAGCTGCGCCAATCTGGAGCCAGGAGCTGGAAGCTCCCATATGGGTGCAGGGGCCCAAGGACTTGGGCCATCTTCTACTGCTTTTCCAGGCCATAGCAGAGAGCTGGGTCAGAAGTAGAGCAGCTGGGACTCTAGCCAGTGCGTATATGGGATGCCAGCATTACAGGTGGCATTTTGACCTGCTAACTATAGCCCCAGCCCTATCCTGAGTAGTTTACCTCTCATTACAAATCTGAGCTTTGGTTGGGGAAACTTTATACCCTTGCTTCCTTAAAAAATTTAAGGCCTAGAAGCTATTTTCATATGAGTCCTTCTTGGATGGACTGTAGATGAGAATATCATTTACATATTGTAGAATGGCTCCAGTCTTTAATTGGAGTTCCTAATTTCCTTTGCAAGAGCATTGCTGAACAAATGAGGACTACCTCTAAAACACTGAAGATCAGTCCATTCAAAGGCAGTCCATTCAGAGGGATTCTGGGCTCAGTGGCATGTAAAAGAAAGCATCTTTTATTTTTATCAGAAGTTTTAATTTTTTAAAAAGATTTATTTTATTTATTTGAAAAACAGAGTTACAGAGAGAGGTTTAGACAGAGAGAGGTCTTCCATCCGCTGGTTCACTCCCCAGGTGACCACAACGGCAAGAGCTCCGCCGATCCAAAGCCAGGAGCCAAGAGCTTCTTCTGGATCTCCCACGCAACTGCAGGGTTCCAAGGACTTACCATCTTCTACTGCTTTCCCAGGCCATAGCAGAGAGCTGGATCAGAAGAGGAGCAGCCAGGACTAGAACTGGCACCCATATGGATGCCGGCGATTCAGGCCAGGGCATTAACCTGCTGCGCCACAGCGCCGGCTCCAAGAAAGCATCTTTTAGGTGTAGGACTGTGTGCCATGAGGTACATTCAGGTATCTGTGTTAATATAGTGTAAGGATTTGGCACAAGTGGTGAAGTGGAATAACTGCCTTATTAATAGTCCTGAAGTCCTGAATCATTCTGTAGTCTCCATTTGACTTTTCTTCCACCTCTATGTCAGGCCATAGCAGAGAGCTGGATCAGAAGTGGAGCAGCTGGGACTCAAAAGCATTAACATGGGGTGCCGGCACTGTAGGCGGTGGCTTTATCTGCTACCCCATAGCACTGCCCCCCCCTTCAAATTTGGCTTTAAAACAGGTGCAGTGGGGATATTCCAGGAAGACTGACATGGAACCAGGACTGTATGTTTGAGAAACCTATTAGTCAAGGGTTGGAGTCCTCATCTTGCTTCTGGCTTGATGGGTGCTGGTGCTGAGGAAGTGCGGTCCTGCTCTTTAAGAGGCCTCTAACAGGCACAGCACGTGTAGCCTGTCCTGATCTCAGATTTGTGGATATACTGTATCCTTTATTTCCTCAGGAAGATCAGGCTGGGATCTGTCTCAGTGCTCGTTAGCATCATAACCAATGACTTAAATTTGGAAACAGTTAACCTGAGAGATGCACCAGGGTGATAGCAAATCCCTTCCAAGCAAAGGAGCTGGACATCTTCTATTTGAAAAACTGAAAGACAAATTGCCTAGAATGAGGTTTACTATCAACTCCCATAATAATGCAATTTTTTTTTATTTTTATTTTTTGACAGGCAAGAGTGGACAGTGAGAGAGAGAGACAGAGAGAAAAGGTCTTCCCTTTTGCCGTTGGTTTCCCCTCCCAAATGGCCCCCGGGCCCGGGCGCTCTGCGGGCGGCACACCGTAATACGATGATGCCAGGAGCCAGGAGCCAGGTGCTTTTCCTGGTCTCCCATGGGGTGCAGGGCCCAAGCACCTGGGCCATCCTCCACTGCACTCCCTGGCCACAGCAGAGAGCTGGCCTGGAAGAGGGGCAACCGGGACAGAATCCGACGCCCCGACCAGGACTAGAACCCGGTGTGCCGGTGCCGCTAGGCGGAGGATTAGCCTAGTGAGCCGCGGTGCCGGCCAATAATGCAATTTTTTTAAAGATTCATTTATTTAATTGAAAGTCAGAGTTAACACAGAGAGGAGAGGCATGGTGGGGGGTTCTTCCATCCGCTGGTTCACTCCCTAGATGGCTGCAACGGCTGGAGCTGCATTGATCCAATGCCAGGAGCTTCTTCCGGGTCTCCCACATGGGTGCAGGGGCCCAAGGACTTGGACCATCCTCCACTGCCTTCCCAGGCCATAACAGAAAGCTGGATTGGAAGTGGAACAGCCGGGACTCAAACCAGCGCCTATATGAGATGCCAGCACCACAGGTGGCAGCTTTACCTGCTACACCACAGTGCCAGCCTCAATAATATAACTTTTTAAAGATGGGGTCCTGCATGGGAAGTTAGTACATAGTGACCCCTGTGTCACTTAGAATGAACACCCTTACCTGTGACATCAACAGTCACCTGGAGCTCCTGACATGCGATGCCTAGGCAGAGTCCTCAGGCCCCAGTAGTCTTCAGACAAGATGACAAGGGAAGTGGGACCCCCTTTCCTCTTTTTAGAGGGTAGAAGAGTCCCTCTTCCTTTGGCCACTTTTCTTGCATTGGGGCATGGGTTGGGGGGTCCTTCACAGAGGGACACACCTTGTGTCTGTGTCCTGCCTTTCCACACCTGAGATACTCTCCTGTGGTCTTTTTTAACCAGACCATGATGTCCCCTGGGCTGATTCTTAGGTTGCTAAATACCTGAAATGCTGTTTCTACCATCTGGCTTATGGGTATCTGGAGTCCTATGGCCAATTTTTGAAACTATGCATAGGAGTGAGTCCATGAGAACAAATGTAGAGTGATGCACAGCTAAGAAGTCTCTAGAACCTGAAAGACAAAAGTAGGCTGTCCACAACAATTTACATTTAGTCATGTGATTGGACTCCCTTGTGTTTGATAATATCTGTTGTCCCAGGATCTCCCTTTTTTTTTTTTAAAAGATTTATTCATTTATTTGAAAGGAGAGCTACAAAGAGAGGGAGAGAGAGAGAGCGAGAGAGAGAGAGAAAGAGAGCGAGAGCGAGCTTCCATCCACTGGTTCACTCCCCAAACGGCTCCATTGGCCAGGGCTGAGCCAGGCCAAAACCAGGAACCAGGAGCTTTCTCTGGGTCTCTCACATGGGTGCAGGGACCCAAGGACTTGGAATATCTTTCACTGCTTTCCCAGGCACATTGGCAGGGAACTGGATCAGAAGTGGATCAGTTGGGACTTGAAGCAACACTTATATGGAATGCCAGCATTGCAGGTGGTGGCTTTACCTGCTACACCAAAGTGCCATCCCTGCAAGATCTCCTTTTACATCTCAAGGTGGGGTTCCCTACCCCAGACTCAGAGTTAATCCAGTTCTGCAGTATTCTCCCAGACCTGTGATTACCACCTCTAAGTGTGGTCCATGGTGGAAAGAAAGAAACCAAGAGTAGTCCCTCTAAACATAGTCCATGGCAGAGAGTGAAAGGCACTTCTAAATATGATTCTTGGTGAAAAGAAACCTCTCCCCTACTCTCAGTCCTTTTTTTTTTTTTTTTTCCATGCAGGCGGTAGTACCTTAATTGAATATACAAATAGGATGTGGTCTTAACATGCACTCTGTTCCCAGATGAGACAGGTGCATCCAAGGAATGTGGGTGTATCAAGCTGACAGTTAAAGAGAAAAAAAAACTTTCAGGAGTACAATAAATTTAGCTTACCTAAACTTCAGCTGCCTACTTACATATTACTTTCACCTTACAATATATATTTTTTAAAGATTTATCTATTTTACTTGTAGGTCACAGTTACACACAGAGAGAGGGAAAAGCAAAGAAATAGAGGTCTTCCACCCGCTGGTTCACTCCTCACATGGCCTCATTGGCTGGAGCTGCTCCGACCTGAAGCCAAGAGCCAGGAGCTTCCCCCAGGTCTCCTATGCAGGCACAGGGGCCCAAGGACCTGGGCCATCTTCTACTGCTTTCCCAGGCAGGAAAGCAGCCAGGTCTCAAACCGGTGCCCACATGGGATGCTGGCACTGCAAGCAGCAGCCCCACCTGCTACGCCACAGCGCCAGCCCCTCACCTTACAATATTTTTTAAAGTTTATTTTATAATCTTTTGTCAAGCCATCTGTTCAGTGTCTTTCATTATTAAGTCCTAGTACGTAGGAACAATTCTTTATAAGTGTCTAATATATAAGTAGGAGTTTTTTCCTGTTCTGTCTTATAGAGTCTAATGATCAGACATCCAAAGGGCTTATTTCATCCAACTCTATTATTCTAAAACTGGATCAATATACTTTATTCTGATCATCTGAATTCCCAGTGTTTTATTCCACCCATGACATCTGAAAATGTCCACACCTCTCTGAATATTAAAAAGAAAATGAGCATTACTATTAGTATGTGATTTAATGTTTGCCTTTGTTTTGAAGATATTTTATACTAAACCATATAAACAAATCTTATACTAAACTACTTCCTGTAGGCTCTCCTTGTCTCTTTTGTTATTGCTGCTCTTTTTAGACTACAGTAATACAGATAAAATCCTGTCATGTCCAATGCTAAGGAATTCTGTTTCACAAATTTTATAGCAAATATCATTTCATAGGAGGAAACTGGCTCTTGGAAATCTTTTTTCTATTGGTTGGTGATTGATGAGCTAGTATTTGTTGTTATGTGACTGGCAATGTCCTAAGACATTTCTCACATTTTTTCTTATCACAGATGTTAAATTATACATGTCAACTTGGTCAAATAGCCTTCATTTTGTCAAGGTAAGACTTTTCTTTCCTTCTCTGTTTAGAATTCCATTATTGTGGTTTCCAAGTGAGAACAAATAGTACAGTGCCCTTTATTTCCATTGTTACTCCTACGTTCTCATAGTGCATACTCTGCAAGAAACATTGATTTCATTTTTCCACATTGTATATGGAAGCACTTTAATGTTACAGTTTAGATGTTAGCTCTGATTGCCATCAACTCTATGTGGCCTTGAACAAACTGCTTTAAGTCTTTGGATCTCTAATTTCCTTTTTTCTGTTATAAAGAGTAATAATCAATGGCCTTCAAGATCTCTTCCACTTTATAACAGTGGTCGAGACTTTTAGGATTATAATACCTGGGAAGGGTCTAGATCTCACCTACAGTGATCATTTTAGAGTTGGTTTTAAAAATTATAAGTTTTGGGGCCGGCGCTGCGGCTCACTAGGCTAATCCTCCGCCTTGCAGCGCTGGCACACCGGGTTCTAGTCCCAGTCAGGGCACCAGATTCTGTCCCGGTTGCCCCTCTTCCAGGCCAGCTCTCTGCTGTGGCCCGGGAGTGCAGTGGAGGATGGCCCAAGTGCTTGGGCCCTGCACCCCATGGGAGACCAGGATAAGTACCTGGCTCCTGCCATCGGATCAGCGTGGTACGCCGGCCGCAGCTCGCCCGCTGCAGTGGCCACTGGAGGGTGAACCAACGGCAAAGGAAGACCTTTCTCTCTGTCTCTCTCTCACTATCCACTCTGCCTGTCAAAAAAAAATATTACAAGTTTTGGGGCTGGTTCTGTGGCACAGTGGGTTAAAGCCCCAGCCTGCAGTGCCAGCATCCCATAAGGGTGCCTGTTGGAGTCCCAGCTGCTCCTCTTCCTATTCAGCTCTCTGCTATGGCCTAGAAAAGCAGTAGAAGATGGCCCAACTCCTTGAGCCCCTGCACCCACGTGGGAGACCTGAAAGAAGCTCCTGGCTCCTGGTTTCGCATCAGCTCAGTTCTGGCCATTGTGGCCATTTGGGAGTGAACCAGCAGAGTGGAAGACCTCTCTCTCTGGCTGTACCTCTCTGTAACTCTTGTCTTTCAAATAAATAAAAATAATTCCTAAAAAATTATAAGTTTTGCTCCTTGGTCTTCTCTTCTCTATATATTTTTGAAGATTTATTCATTTATTTGAAAGGCAGTTACAGAGAGGCAGAGGTAGAGAAACAGAGGTCTTCCATCGGCTGTTTCACTCCCCAAGTGGCTACAATGGCCAGAGCTGCACAGATCCAAAGTCAGGAGCCAAGAGCTTCCTCTGGGTCTCCCACGTGGTACAAGGGCCTAAGGGCTTGGGCTATCTTCCACTGCTTTCCCAGGCCATAGCAGACAGCTGAATTGGAAGTGAAAGCAGCCAGGACTCAAATCGGCGCCCATATGGGATGCCGGCACTGCAGGTGGCAGCCTCACCTGCTAAGCCACAGTGCCAGCCCCCTCCTCTATATTTAGCTAGATAAATTGCTGGCTGTTTATTTTTTTGAAGATTTATTTGTTTCTTTGAACGTCAGAGTTACATAGAGAGAGAGGGAGAGACAGAGACGAGATCATCCTCCAATGGTCACAATGAGAATCCTGCAGATTCTTCCTGAAGCTCTGTTAGGTGTATTAACCCAGGTACAAATCGTATTCTCCACTCCACTTCCCCAGGAACTGGAAAGGAAGAAATCCTTAAAGCATTTGAAGTATTTTTCTTGAAAAAATTGGATGTGTATATTTGTAGATATTGGCAGAGTTATGAAATTCAGAGAAAAGGAGAATATTATGCAAAAGGGGAAAAGCATGAAAATTAGTGTTAGATCCACCCATTCCTGAGTGTTGTGGGCATTTGAGCAGTGGACTGGCAACTGATAGTTTGGTAGTTTGTTGTCTCTCTCTCATCATCCCTCAAATAAATTAAAATATCTTCAAAAAATTTTTAAGTATGGATATTAGAGTGATGGATATTAGAGTGATAACAGTTTTTCTTCCCAGCCTGATACCTCTGCTATTAATGGCACCTGTATTCTGCCTGGGCAATGCCAGTGAATGTTTCCACAACTTCAGCCAGAGCCACAGGTAAATAAGAATCAAATGTATCATTTTCATGGTAGACCATACCCACCTTTCTCCATAAATGGAGCTAGAAAAAGACTTTCTGCATGCACTTTAGTTAAGGTGCTTGTATTGAAAACGGGCTATGGAACAAGGTACAGCCAAGGCTAAGAGTACATAGGTAAAAATGTATCATAAAGTGACTGTAAGGTAATGTGTCTGTCAGAAGGACAAAGGGTTAAAGGCAGGGGTTAGCAAAATGAGAAGTAAAGTTACATACTTATTAACTTGTGTTGTACTGAATGTCTCTCTTATTCCTGTCTGTTGATTCTCTTCCTAGGTGTATCCTTATGCACTCACCACCATCAACCATGGCTGAATTCCTGAATTCGATCAACACGTCTGTCTGCAGCATACTTTATTTTTATGGCATCACCATTTTCCTGACTAGCTTTCTACTCAGCCTTCTCACCATTATGGTATGGTGCCATTTTACCTGCTTTTGTGGAGAGAGAGGGAACTGGAAGTGACAGGCCTGTATTTCCAGGGCCTGGGATAAATGGAGCAGAGAGAGGTGCTTTCTATGATTGTAGAACTAAAAAGGTGGCCAGCAGATCTTGGCAATGTAAATACCACCTCATTCTTCTGGACTTCTCAAAATCAAACAATGAGTAAGGGAAAAGAGCTGTATTCATTATGTGATGCTCATTCTAGAACTAATATATGTTTGATTGATCCCCAAGGAGGACCAGACCAGAAAACTTATTTGTGTCAAGTATATACTTTATGGGGTTGGCTCCATGGTGCAATAGGTTAATCTTCCACCTGTGGTGCTGGCATCCCATATGGGCACCATTTCTAGTCCCAGCTGCCCCTCTTCCAATCCAGCTCTCTGCTATGGCCTGGGAAAGCAGTAGAAGATGGCTCAAGTGCTTGGGCCCCTGCATCTGCATGAGAGACCAGGAAGAAGCACCTGGTTCCTGGCTTTGAGTCGGTGCAGCTCCAGCCGTTGCGGCCATTTGGGGAGTGAACTAACAGAAGGAAGACCTTTCTCTCTGTCTCTCCCTCTCACTGTCTGTAACTCTACCTCTCAAATAAATAAATAAAATCCTTTTTTTTTTTTAAAGATTTATTTATTTATTTGCAAGTTAAAGTTACACAGAGAGAGAGAGAGGTCTTCCATCTGATGGTTCACTCCCCAGTTGCCGCAACGGCCGGAGCTACGCCGATCCAAAGCCAGGAGCCAGGAGCTTCTTCCGGGTCTCCCACGCAGGTGCAGGGGCCCAAGGACTTGGGCCATCTTCTACTGCTTCCTCAAGCCATAGCAGAGAGCTGGATCGGAAGTGGAGTAGCTGGCTCTTGAACTGGCGCCCTTATTGGATGCTGGCCCTTCAGGCCAGGGTGTTAACCCACTGCACCACAGCGCCAGCCCCAGTAAAATCTTTTTTAAAAGAAGTATATAGTTTATACAAAGTAACACGATGGAACATTAGAGATGGCTTTAATCAGCTAAATAATGAAATAATTTTCTTAATTCTTTGTATGACCATAAGTTTGCATTTATGCATGTCTAACTGTGGTTGAAGTACTAAGTGATTCATGCAGTTATCAGATAATCGTTTTCTGTCATCAGGATGATATACAGTTAAAATAATCAGCCATGAGATAGTTATTTTGACATAACTGCCTAGTAGAAAAGCAGTAACAAAAAAAAGTGCTTTTTTATTTGCTGTATCAATATTTTTTACATTTTGGTGTTTTTTTTTAAGATTTATCCATTTATTTGAAAGTCAAAGTTACACAAAGAGAGAAGGAGAGGCAGAGAGAGAGGACTTCCATCCACTGGTTCACTCCCCAGTTGGCTGCAATGGCTGGAGCTGGGACAATCCGAAACCAGGAACCAGAAGCCTCTTCCGGGTCTCCCATGCGGGTGCAGGGGCCCAAGGGCTTGGGCCATCTTCTACTGCTTTCCCAGGCCATAGCAGAAAGCTGGATCAGAAGTGGAGCAGCCAGGTCTTGAACCAGTGCCCGTAAGGGATGCTGGCAGTTTTACCCACTATGCCACAGCACCGGCCCCTTGGTATATTTTCTCCTCTCATATTCTAGTTCAGGAATTACAAAGTATCGTAGATCACATTTATCTCACAATATTTTGTTTTGCTAACACAACTAGCAGTTGTGAACCAGGTAGAATCATAGGGAATTTCCTTTGAAAATTCAAAAAGGAGTTACAGAGATAGCTCAGCTCAAATCAGCAACTTGGTAAAGAGTGACTAGTTTATATTAAAATACTCTGATGGTTTACATTTGGAAGTGATTGACAAGAGGGATAGATCTCCCAAGACCTGGCATCCTAAAAGTTCCTTTTTTACTTCTTTTAGAATATTCCAGGCTCAATGAAAATTCAAATTAACATTCTAAAATCTTTAAAAGTAAATAGATGGTGAATTGATTCTTCCAGACATAAGTATCCTCAGATAAGCTCAAGCCTCTTTTTGATTCCTATATTTGTGGGGAAAGAAGGCTACATAGCTGAATTTGATTAAGTGTTTGGATTAGTGATTTAAAGAGTAAATCTAGATTGTTAAGGAAAAGATTCAGATTTGGTCAGATTTCTGCCAAGATTACTAATTTATTCTTTACCAAAAAAAAAAAAACCACTACATTTCACTTCTGACTTGTATTTCTTTCATTACTAAACCTTATTTAGAAAAATGCCAAATAGAAGGGGGGAAAATTATCTATTTTGGGGGCCAGTGTTGTGTAGCAGGTTAAGCCTCTGTTTATGATGCCAGCATCCCACATGGGTGCTGGTTCAAGACCTGGCTGTTTCAGTTCCATCCAGCTCCCTGCTAATGTGCCTGGGAAAGCAGTGGAAGATGGGTCAAGTGCTTGGGCTCCTGCACCAACATGGGAGACCTGGAATAAGGTCCTGGCTCCTGGCTTTGGCATGGCCCAGCCCAGGCCATTGCAGCCATTTGGGGAGTAAACCAGCAGATATGGGATGCTGGCACTGTGATTAGCCTCAGGGCAGAAAAAGAGATTCAGAAGATTGATACAAGGTTCAGGTATTGGGGGCTGGCATTGTGATGTAGCAGGTTAAGCTGCCTCCTGCAACACCACCATCCCATATAGGCACCGGTTTGAGTTCTGGCTGCTCCACTTCTGATCCTGCTCTCTGCTGATGTGCCTAGGAAAGCAGCAGAGGACAGCCCAAGTACTTGGACCCCTGCACCTATGTGGGAGACCTGGAAGAAACTCCAGGCTCCTGGCTTCAGCCTTGTCCAGCCCCTGCTGTTGTAGCTATTTAGGGAGTGAACACATATGGGAAACCCTGTTTCTCCCTCTCTCTCTAACTCTGCATTTCAGATAAATAAAGTAAATTTAAAAAAAAAAAGAAAAAGGTTCAGGTATTGACCTGACCATGATAACCACAAGTTTGGCTAGAATGTCTTCCTGTCAAGTAGAAGTTCACTCTGAATGTACTTTTTCTCTCTCTCTCAAAAAAAAAAAAAAAAAAAAGCCTGCTTTTAGATTTTAATGACACAGTGGTCTTTCCTGCTGTGAGATTCTTAGAAAATGATCCTTTGTTGCAAAAATTATAGAAGGATAGACCTGAGAAGTTTCACTGATGTTTAAGCAAAGTATTCAGTGCTACATTCCTGTTTAGGTCTTATTTATCCAAGCCCGGACACTGTATAAGAAGTTTGTGAAATCAGCTGACTTTCTGGGGAGTGAACAGTGGGCAGTGATTCACACTGTGGAGCAGCGTGTGCACTTCTACCCAGTCACCTTCTTTTTCTGCCGGGGCCCAGGTGGGTATCTTAATAGGAAGATATAGGCCATGAAGAGAGCAGCTATTGGGTTCCAATCAAACAGAGTGGCCTCACTAAGAATGATTGCTTCTGTTCAGCTTATAATTTTAAAAACTGTTTTTAAATTTATGTATTTTAAAGTCAGAGAGAGAAAAGCAGACAGAGAGGTCTCCCATCCATTTCTTCCCTTCCCAAATACCTGCAAGAGCCAGAGGTGAGTCAGGCCAAAGCTAGGAGCTAAGAACTTAATGTGAATCTCTCCTACTTGAGCTATCACCTTCTGCCTCCCAGTGTACATATTAGCAGGAAGTTGGAATTGGGAGTAGAGCCAGGACTCAAACCCAGGTACTCTGATATGGGATATGGGCATTCCAAGCAATGCCTGGTGCACTAAACACCCATCCCCAGCTTGTAAAATTTAGGTTGGCTCTACAATATTTCCACTTTTTCTGTCACCCTAATTTCTTTTACTTCTTATGTTTTAGAAATTAAGATAATTAGACATGAAATGCAACCTGACATGAGAGGAAAAAAGATTCCTGACAGAATTTAGATATGTTAACACTTGCTCTTCCCATTGTATATGGTTGTAGTGAGGATCTTGTTAGATGTTTATCAAAGAGCTTGATAAATTCTGAAATGCTAAGAAGTATAGATTACTGTCTTCCTATAGTATGTTTTGTAACTGTTACTGAAATAATAATCTGCAGTGTTTAATCAATAACAATTAGAAGTTGGAGGTCAGTAGTTTAAATAACTGGTTAACCTCAATACTGATATACATTTATGCCTGTAGCTTCCATTCTAATAATTCTCCGGCATGTATACTAAGGAACTTTATGCTTCAGGCACTCAGGGCTAACAAGTTTCACACTTTATATTTTCACAGCTGTCATTCTGATGATTGTTAAGCTGACCAAGCCACAGTATACCAAGCTTCACATGGCCCTCTATGTGCTCCAGGTAACACTTTCAACATCCAGTGCCTCTATTCTCACAGCTTCTCATTCTGTCTTCTTACATTGCTAGTACTCAGCATATACCCTCAGGGTATTTATTTCTGTATTGCAAATGAGAAAATGTATTATTTATACTCAGTTATGAAGTATGTGAAAATTTCCTTGGAGATGAGGTACTAGTGTTTGTAAAAGTGCTACCCTAAATTCCAGAGCCTGTTTCTTTGGTCAGCTTCATTTTATTGATTTGTTTTTAAAGGATGATCATCATGAACAAAAAATGAAAAAAAAAAACCTGGGCATATTCTCTGTTAATGACATGAATCTCTCCAATCCAGAGTGAATCAAATGAGACAAATTAGCTATTTCTTAGGGATGAAGGGAGTAGGTGGAATAATTGTGTCTCCTCCCTTTATCAGATTGGAAAGCCATTTCAGGCTATATAACTGTGCTGATAAGGCCATTTTCCCAAGTCTAATCTGGAAAATGGGGCAATACGGAGGGGCATTGAAGCTACTTAATTCTCCTTCTGTGATTTTAAGAAATATGACCAAGTCTCATCTATATCAAGATACACTTTGAAGAGTAGGTTTAGGAAGGGCTAGAAAAATACAACAAAAAGATGCCAAGTCTTGATGTTTAATAGAGAAGAGATATAGCAATGCTTTATAAATAAGGGGAATGGGTATTATTCCCTGGATCTCTGAAAATCTGAAGGATGGGCTCCATAACCCCTTCATCTCCTCCAGGCACTAACAGCAGCATCCCAGGGTCTGCTCAACTGTGGAGTGTATGGCTGGACACAGCACAAGTTCTACCAACTAAAGCAAGAGGCCCGACGTGATGTAGACACCCAAACACCATTATTATGCTCACAGAAGAGAATCTATAGCAGGGGCCTAGATCCATTGGAATCTACCCTTGCTTTTGCTACCAGCACTTCTACCATTCTTTGAAAGTACAGTACTGGGACAACCAGGAACTAGAGTTACTCCACTCTAATAGATTTGAAAGATATTGTGGAACCACATCTTAAGGCTTTTTTAACCATGCCCTAAACTATAGAACTGAAAAGGAATATAGTGCCAGAGTTAAATTTTCTGGGTAAATTGAGCAGGATTTCTCCAATCATTCCCTGATTCACTAATGATTCTTAAAGTTATCTCTGTTCAGGAAGATGAAGCCACTTTCCATCTAAGAGACAGATTCATATTACCTTGATGAATATTATATATATATATTTATCAATTTCTTCCAGAAAAAATAAATTATAGATTTTTGTTTATATATGTTATCAGTAGGTGTTCTACTTCATGGTTGCAAAAGTATAAGAATGTGCAACAACTTGCTCGGGTCTTACCATTGGTATAACTCTCTCTAAAGCTAGACAAAGGACCTGGGTTTCTTTTCTTTGAGCAGGTGTCCTTGTTCAGAAGAAGCAAGCATAATAATTAGCAAACAACAAAGGTGACAATGGAGCCTCAGACCCACCACATCCAAGTCTCAAATGTTTAGTTCAAAAAGGACTATCTTGCTCTAGAAAATCTGAATCATTTTTTTGAGTTACAGGGATAATAAGATTTAAGAGAAATCAGGACTGGTGTGAGTGTTGTGGCAGAGCAGGTAAAGCCATGCCTATGACACCAGCATCTAATATGGGCATTAGTTTCTGTCCCAGCTGTTTCACTTCCAATCCAGTGCCCTACTAAAGGCCTGGGAAAAGCAGCAAAATATGGCCCAAGCGTTTGGGCCACAGCCACCCATGTGAGAGACCCAGAAGAAGCTCCTGGCTCCTGGCTTTTGATTGGTCCAGCTCCAGCCATTGCAGCCATTTGGGGGAATGAACAGCCAATTAAAGATCTCTGTCTGTCTGTCTCCCTCTCTCTTTCTCTTTGTATAACTCTACCTTTCAATAAATAAATAAATATTTAAAATTTAAAAAATAACTTTTAGGGAGCTCAACGTGAACTTCATGGCAGTTATGGAGGGCAACCCATTCTTACTCTATCAAGATCACATCTGGAGGCCTCTCATTGCCTCAAAGCTATGGAAATCTGATTTCAAGATCACAGAACAAGAAATACTGCCTCATCTAGCCTCATCTAAGAGGCTACCTTAATATCTTTAAAAATATAATAAGTGGGACGAGCACTGTGGCACAGTGGATTAAGCTGCCACCTACAGTGCCAGCATCCCATATGAGCGCTGGTTCAAGTCCCAGCCACTCCACTTCCAATCCAGCTCCCTGCTAATGTGCCTGGGAAAGCAGCAGAGGATGGTCCAAAGTGTTAGGGCCCCTGCACACATGTGGAAGACCTGGGTGAGGCTCCTGGCTCCTGGCTTCAGCCTGGCCCAGCCTTGACTGTTTGAATCATTTGGAGAGTGAATCAGATATCGCTCATGTGTTCACTCTTGCTCGCTCGCTCACTCTCTCTTTCTGCCTCTTCCTCTTCTCCCTGTAACTCTGCCTTTCAAATAAATAAATAAACCTTAAAAAAAACCCTTATATATGATATGAGTCAATGCATGTGAAATGTCCAGAAGAGGCAGATCCTGAGAAAGCAAGTAGATTGCTGGTTGCCAGTTCAGGCATGGAGGTGTGGAGATAGCATGGTTGTTAATGGAAATAGAGTTTCTTTTGGGGATGATGGAAATATTCTAGAATCAGATTGTGGGGATGGTTGCACAACTCTGTGACTCTACTAGAAAATCATTGTAGGGGGCCTGGCATTGTGGCATATCAGGTTAGGCCACTGTCTGCAATGCCAACATCCCATATGAACACTGGTTTGAGTCTTGCAGTCATTTGGGGAGTGAACCAGCAGATGGAAGATATATATCTCTCTCTCCCCCCTCTCTTTGTTTCTCTCTCTCTCTGCCTTTCAAATAAATAAGTCAGAGTTACACAGAGAATTACACAGAGAGTGAAGGAGGCAGAGAGAGAGAGAGAGAGGTCTTCCATCTGCTGGTTCACTCCCTAATTGGCTGCAACAGCTGGAGCTGCCCAATCCGAAGCCAGAAGCTTCTTCCAGGTCTCCAACGAGGGTGCACAGGTGCCCAAGGACTACTTTCCCAGGCCATAGAAGAGAGCTGGTTAGGAAGTAGAGCAGCCAGGACACAAACCGGCTCCTGTATGGGATGCCAGCACTGCAGTTGACTGCTTTACCCGCTATGCCACAGTGCTGGCTCCCTTTAAAAAAAAAATGTCAAGTTTATTTATCTTACTGCTTTGGTGATTTTTTTTTTGGCCTTGACGTGGGTCTTAGATATTATATAGATATATAATAGTAGTGAAAAATAAGAGTCTAGGTAAGACTTAAATTAGGATTATCCATTCTGAGAGTAGAGCTGACATATGGATTTGGGCTACTCTTCAAACTGTCCCTGAAACTCTTGAATTCAGGGACAGATGAGACATAGCCATAGACACAGCGGCAGTTCTTAAAATTGTTGAAAACATCCCTCGTGTTAGAGTTGCAGTTACAGTTTAGTGGAGTGATATCTAAGGTTCAGTTCATAGAGATCATCTGTGGACCACATGGAGTTCTACCCTTTACCTTATCCTCTTCAGCCCTGTTTGTAGCTTCAAAAAACCCTCCGCCCCAATACCACATGTCCTGCATGGGGAACTAGGTAAGTGTTTGATGTTTCTCAATGAGTGGAAGCCTTGAATGCTTTAACATAGCCACTTATATCTTGGGGCTTATACTTGCTGAAGACTTTAAACATCCTTTTAGACTTACTGCTATGGTGTGTAAACCTGTCCCTTTGCTAATGATAATAACTTTTCTGGTAAGTCCTTGGGCCCTCTCCAAAGACTTGACTGCACGGTTCTCTGGGCTTCTGCACTGCCCCTGGAAACAACAACCTTGTTCTTTGCAAGGAGTATCATCTTGATTACATCCTGGCAGTGCTTGGAGCTGCCATTAATGTGCTCTGGGAAGTCAAACTCATCTACACTGAGATTGTGAGATGTGACTATTCTTAGAAATTTGTGGTTTTTTTTCTTCTGTGGTATCCAAATGCATTTGGCTAGCATGGGGTAGACAGTGGTGATCCTTGTGACAATTAAGGACACCACCACAAACACATTTATCTTCTCTGTTCATTTTCTTATTCCCACAATATGGCTTTCCCAAAGAACTTTGGAGCTCAGATTTATTAAACAGGCAGTCTCCCTTTGTGTGTAAGCAGCAGCTGATGAAAGTAATGGAAGCTGTGATTGCTGAGGCCCATAATGAGAGTAATAAATTTATTCACAGTACAGAGACTCTAAATAGTCATGATTAATTCCAAACCTGTGGCCAAGCTTTTGAACCATGAGAACTGCAAAATAGAACGAGTCTTCAAGACAGGAAAATTAAATGCTGATTGTGTTGACAGTGCAGACACCCCCTAAAAACTGCACAGCCATGTTACTTTCAAGATTTCGGCCAAAATCATATGAGCATGTTTTCACCTTTTTTTTTTTTATTTTTTTTTATTTTTTTTTTATTTTTGACAGGCAGAGTGGACAGTGAGAGAGAGACAGAGAGAAAGGTCTTCCTTTGCCGTTGGTTCACCCTCCAATGGCCGCCGCTGCAGCCGGCGCACCGCGCTGATCCGATGGCAGGAGCCAGGATCCAGGTGCTTTTCCTGGTCTCCCATGGGGTGCAGGGCCCAAGCACCTGGGCCATCCTCCACTGCACTCCCTGGCCATAGCAGAGAGCTGGCCTGGAAGAGGGGCAACCGGGACAGAATCCGGCGCCCCGACCGGGACTAGAACCCGGTGTGCCGGCGCCGCAAGGTGGAGGATTAGCCTATTGAGCCACGGCGCCGGCTCTGTTTTCACCTTTCTTAAAAGATGCCAGTCTCTCCAACAGTTAAGATTTTGAAGTGTTTTCTGTGGATTCAGGGATATTTGTAATGGGTTTCTCTCTGTTTCTACTCAAGAAAGAATTACTTCTACAGTTGGCTCATTCATTGACTAGCATGTGAATATCCATTACCATCTCTGTTGTCTTGGCTCACATGTTATTCCTCTGTTTAAACATAGTTACACATATTTAGGAAATGCCCATATATAGGACAAGAGGACTGAGTTCCATTCTGCTTTGAAATTGTGAAGAGGCCAGCACTATGGCGTAGCAGGTAAAGCTGCCAATTGCAGTGCCAGCATCCTATGTGAGCACCAGTTCGAGTCCCGACTCTTCCACTTCTGATCCAGCTCTCTGCTATGGCCTGGGAAAGCAGTGGAAGATGGTCCAAGTCCTTGGGCCCCTGCAGCTGTGTAGGAGATCTAGAAGAAGTTCCCTGGCTCCTGGCTCCTGGCTCCTGGCTCCAGATTGGCCCAGCTCCGGCCAATGTGGCCATTTAAGAAGTGAACCAGCAGATGGAGGACTTCTCTCTCTCTGCCTCTCTGTAACTCTGCCTTTCAAATAAATAACTAAATCTTTAAAAAAAATTGTTCATCTCTAGTGATTGCACAGATCTTACCTGGTTTAGAGATGTGCTGGAGTGGCCAGCTTTTCTTGCTCAACAGGTTAAGCTACCGTCACAATGCTGACATCCCATATAGGTGCCAGTCCAAGTCCCACCAGCTGTACTTCCAATCCAGCTTCCTGCTGATGAGCCTAGGAAAGTAGCAGAAGATGGCCCAAGTGCTTGGGCACCTGCACCCACGTGGGTGACCCGGAAGAAGCTCCTAGCTCCTGGGTTCAGCCTTGTCCAGCCTTGGCCATTGTGGCCATTTGGGGAGTGAACCAGCAGACAATCGATCTATCTATCTCCCTCTCTCTCTCTGTCCTTTCCCTTTGTGGTAATTCTACCTTTCAAATAAATAAATAAATCTTTAAAGAAAAAGAGATGCTGGAAACCATGTATTCAAAACTGAAATATTGGCCGGCGCCGCGGCTCAATAGGTTAATCCTCCGCCTGCGGTGCCAGCACACCGGGTTCTAGTCCCCGTCGGGGCGCCGGATTCTGTCTTGGTTGCTCCTCTTCCAGTCCAGCTCTCTGCTGTGGCCCGGGAGTGCAGTGGAGGATGGCCCAAGTCCTTGGGCCCTGCACCCGCATGGGAGACCAGGAGAAGCACCTGGCTCCTGGCTTCGGATCAGCATGATGCCCCGGCCGCAGCGTGCTGGCTGCGGTGGCCATTGGAGGGTGAACCAACGGCAAAAGGAAGACGTTTCTCTCTCTCTCACTGTCCACTCTGCCTGTCAAAAAAAAAAAAAAAACAAAAAAACTGAAGTATTTATAGCCTTGATGACAAAGACAGTGCTATGGAAAATCAGGATTTCTGTTACCCTCAGCATGGGCTGCTCAGAAGAGAATCCAGATCACCCTCAGAATACCCATCATAGTAGAAGTCATCTCATATAAAAGGAAAATCCAAGCTCTATTTTTTCCCATTTTGATGTGGATAAATAAGGTTGTGGACAAGCAATCCTCAGATCCGGGGCTGGCGCTGTGGCATAGCAGGAAAAGCCACCACCTGTAGTGCCAGCATCCCATATGGGCACCAGTTCAAGTCCCTGCTGCTCCACTTCTGATCCAGCTCTCTGCTAGGGCCTAGGAAAGCAGTAGAAGATGGCCCAAGTCTTTGGGCCCCTTTACCCGCATGGGGAGACCCAGAGAAAGCTCTTGGCTCCTGGCTTTGGATCAGCACAGCTCTGGCTGCTGCAGCCAATTGGGAAGTGAACCAGCGGATGGGAGACCTCTCTCTCTGCCTCTCCTCTCTGTGTAACTCTGACTTTCAAATAAATAAATAAAATCTTTTTTAAAAAAATCCTCAGATCCTTTCTTTTGCTTCAAGTTGGTAATATTCCATGTTTCTCCATGGGCAGGACATAGACATGTTTGCCTCTCCCCTCTTTTTATTCCTTTTACTTCTAGTCCTCTGAACATCATCAGGTTCTGAGGGATGACTATTCCACAATAAAGAGATTCTTGCTTATAAAACATTTAATGTCAGAAACAGGATAGCATGTTGCAGCCTAATGTAGGAAGGTCCCATTCTCAACAACCCATCTGCGAATTCCAGGATGAAAAATCCAAGATTTCATAGATCAGTTGATTTCATAAAAGAAATATTATGAAAGAGAGAGAGTAACTAGCTAGGAATACCATTGCCATGAGTCAAGTGAAACAGCTAGTGTTCCTGGACCTCTATATCTCAGTTGCCTTCCACAAACTCAAACCCTGATGAGTGATGGAGTTGTTTGGTCAAAGCTTAGACCTCTGCTGTCTACCAGAAAGGTAGCTGCTTCTGCTTCTGAGTTTTATATGATGACACCTGCCTTTTGCGTCTCCTCCTATTATCTCTCTTCATAAGTGTCCTTCCCTTGCAACCTCTCAAAATCTTAGTGCTCCTTGGATGAGCTTCTGCTGTATTCATAGAAGAATATACCAAGTAGTGGATGCTTTCAGATCCAGCCACTGCTATAGGCCAGGGTCAGGCCACATGAAAAGGAAAGAAAAATAACTGCCCCTTCAGCCCCCGTTCCTTTGGAGCAGCTTTCTCCGCATCCCTCCTGCCATTATTCTTTAGAGTCACTGAAATGAAAGGCTCCAGATCAGGGGTTTGTGGATCTCTGAGTAGGTCATAGGCTTCTGCTATCCAATACCTCTTGTATCATTCTTTACTCTGTACCACCCAGCCCATTTCAAATGCCGAACCCTTTTCTGCCTCCAAACAATTTTGTGGGCATAATTTTTGATTTACATTACTTTGTTGTCCTAACAGTCTCTTCTAGATGGACATTTACCTCATTTAAATTGGCTGACTTTGATCCTTGCTATAAAATTGTTTCTGTATTTGACATCCGGGTACTACTTTCTCCTATCTGATGAATGATATGTATACATTATTGTTAGTGGAAAGCAGTAATAAGATCCTGAATATGAAAAACCAGCGATCAGCTTCAAAAAACAATAGCAAATCTTAGAAATATAAGTAGATCTTTTCTAAAATACTTGGGTAGCAAAAAGAAATTAAGTCCTTATGAATTGAAGAAGCCAGGTTATTTTAAATCTTCCAAGGTCCTTTTTTTTTAAAGACTTATTTATTTATCTGAGAGGCAGAGTTACAGACAGAGAGAGGCAGAGACAGAGAGATCTTCCATCCTGTGGTTCACTCCCCAAATGACTGCAGTAGCCGTAACTGGCCCAATCAGGAGCTTCTTCTGGGTCTACCGCATGGGTGCAGGGGCCCAAGCACTTGCTATCTTTATAGTTCTGCCTTTTCCAGAATATCAGCTACTTAGAAAATAGTATACAGCCTTTCAGACTGGTTTGTTTCACTTGACAGTATGCATTGAAGGTCCTTGTGTCATTTTGTGGCTTTGTAGAATTTTTCTTACTACTGAATGTCCATTGTCTGAGTGTACCATATGCTCACTGAAGACATCTTGCTTATTGGATGACATCTTCTGGTTTTTAGAAATTTTGAGGCCGGTGCCGCTGCTCACTAGGCTAATCCTCTGCCTGCGGCACCAGCACCCCAGGTTCTAGTCCCAGTTGGGGCGCTGGATTCTGTCCCAGTTGCTCCTCTTCCAGTCTAGCTCTCTGCTGTGGCCCGGGAAGGCAGTGGAGGATGTCCCAAGTGTCGCTCCCCCTCTTCATGGAGGAACGACACTAAACCCTGCCTAGGTTTCCTATCCGAGTCACAGCACCATTATGTCGCTCCCCCTCTTCACGGAGGAACGACACAGGACCCTGCGCTGTTTTGTCTGCTTGGCCTTTCCCGGGTTTGCTGCTGGTCCTTCCCGGGTTGGCTACCGTCCCTTCCACCTCCGTGGAAGGGTGGTTCCCCCTGCCACTTTCCCCACTTCCGCGGGGGAGCGGCACACCGCCGGCCGGCTCTCTCGGGGGCTGCTCAGATGTTCCTCAGGTGTTCCTGGTGCATGTTGTCTCTCTCCTCCTTTATAGTCCTCTTCCACCAATCCCAACTCTGCTACCCACACGCCGACACGCTGCTCTCCTCCAACCAGGAGCAGGTCCTGCAGCTTGTCAAGTTGGTGAAAGGCAGCTGTGTAGAAGCTGTTTACTCCCTTCTCAGCGCCATATTGTGGGAGAGCAGATGCATAGAATAAGTCTTAATTCCAGTAACAGTCTAGTCCGAGTTGCTCCCCACACCAAGTCCTTGGGCCCTGCACCTGCATGGGAGACCAGGAGGAAGCACCTGGCTCCTGGCTTTGGATCGACACAGCGCACCAGCCGTAGCAGCCATTTGGGAGGTGTACCAACAGAAGGAAGACCTTTCTCTCTGTCTCTCTCTCTCTCTGTCTAACTCTGCCTGTCCAAAAAAAAAAAAAAATTTTTTTTTGAATAAAACTGCCATCCACTTTTATGTGAAGATTTTGTGTAATCTAAGCTTATTTTTAAGATTTATTTATTTATTTGAAAGAGTTACACAGAGAGAGAAGGAGAGGCAGAGAGAGAGACAGAGAGAGAGAGAGAGGTCTTCCATCTGCTGGTTCAC